GGTCTCCACTGTTTTGCTTCCCCTCAGCCCCTTGGAATTCTCTGACACTGCCAATCCCCAGTTTAGAAACACTACTCTAACCCACTTGTGAATTGTTTTTAAAAAGGCACTCTGTCTCGTTCATTTCCGTATTTCCAGCACCTAGCCCAATTCTGGCACAAAGCACACCCTCAATAAATGTTTGGTGAATAAAGAAAGAATGAATGAACACACACACAAATAAACCTTGTAAATTAGGACATCTTTATACATTTTGCATTCTTTGCATTTACTGATTTGGAGGAGTGTGGTGGGCAGGAAAGGGGAAAAAAGGAAAAAGGGACTGGTATTTATTGGACAGTTACAATATGTTAGCCACAGGGCTAGACTCTTTACGTACGCTTTCTCATTTAGTTTTGACACCAAGGACCCTCAGGAGAGAAAGGTGAGGTTCCTTAACATCAGAAAGGGTTATTTCCCATGCTAAGAACACAGAAATGCAAAGTTCTGTTTTATAAAGAGAGAGAGCCATTTTTTAGGGGGGGTGGCAGAGGAGTCACCCCCATGTTGGCAACAATGAAGTCTAAGGGCTGAAGAAGGCCATGTGGATGAAAGTCCAGAGAGACACACAGGGCAGGTGTCAGAGGATCCTTGGGAATAAGCCACTGACACTTTCTGGGCTTGTTTTCTCATCAGCAAAATGAGAGCAATAACCCATATCCTCTCTAAGTTCATTTACAATGCCAGGACTCCCTGTTGTAGAGAATCTTTCATGTTAAATCCATTGTGTATATATTTGCAGAATGAGTGAAAGAAGAATGAACAAATACACAAATCAAGAACTGAATCATCCAATGAAGCCTCTGAAAAATCTTATACCGACTTGCTGCTACTCCCCACTCTTTGTGTGTGACTCCACCTTTCTGCCCCCAACCTTTATAAGGTGAACCATTACAACTCCTGGCTGCCAAAAGAGACCTACTTCCCACTCTGAGGTCCCCATGAGACTCAAGAGGGCAGGCTACTACTCTCAGCTCCCTCCCATCCACTGCATGCAGGACCCTACTGCCTGGGCGAGTCAGCAAGGATTCTTCCAGTTAGGTAGATTTCCTTTGAAAACTGAGCACTTCTTGAGTGGTTGGCCTTCCTGGTCTTATTATGGTGTGAATGATCCAGCACTCAAGTTGGACAAAGGCCCTTGAGCTGAGTCCTGGGTGAGGTAGGCAGAGGAAAATACTCAAGGATAGGCTTCCGAAAGCAACATTCAAGCTGGGCCCAGGGCAGAGAATGGCAAAGCCCAGGCTCTACATCAACCCCTGGCCACGACGTGTTCCTTAGAGAGTACATGAAGCTGAGAGTCAGGCAAAGGTCTCTTGCTTATTTTCTAGCTATTCTCTGCTTTGTTTCTTAGTGGTAACAGATCGGGAGTTGTTATGAGTATCTCCCAAGATTCACCAAGAGAGTTCTAACTTTAAATGGTAGCCCTTCTCCCAGAATTGGTTACCCTGTATATTTTATTTTATTTTTTTTGAGACAGAGTCTCACTCTGTTGCCCAGGCTAGACTGTCATGGCATCAGCCTAGCTCACAGCAACCTCAAACTTCTGGGCTCAAGCAATCCTACTGCCTCAGCCTCCTGAGTAGCTGGGACTACAGGCATGAGCCACCATGCCCAGCTAATTTTTTCTATATATTTTTAGTTGTCCAGCTAATTTCTTTCTATTTTTATTAGAGATGGGGTCTTGTCCTTGCTCAGGCTGGTCTCAAATTCCTGAGCTCAAACAGCTGGCCTCCCAGGCTGGCCTCCCAGAGTGCGAGGATTAAAGGCGGGAGCCATGGCGCCTGGCCAACCCTGCATTTTAATTATGTTTACCTCCTTCACTGCTCTCTCCCTACCTTCCAAAGTCTTAGTCTTCTTTGTATCTCCTCAAGTTCCTAGATTTAGAACATATTCAGTAGGTGTTAGCTGACTGAATAACCAAATGAACAAACATATATAACCCCTTTTATCTTCTATAATATAGGAATATCATGAGAGGCAGAGAAATTAACTTATCCAAGGTCATACAGCCAATTACTGGGTAGGAGAGCCCACATTGAAAGGCAAAGTGAACCCTTAGCTCTTCCACTAAATGATGTGGGACAAGGGCCAACAGCAATGAAGCATCAACAGAATGTCAAGCACTATGCTGTATGTCACAAGGATGTAAGGGGGATATCACCATTACCATTTTACAGAAGAGAACACCACGCCTCAGAGAGGTGCTCTCTGCCTAGATTGTTCCTCACTCTTCCCCAACCCACTCATTTCTGCCTAGGCAGCAAAAATTCATGCTTCAGCTTAGAAGTTGTTTCCTTTAGGAAATCTTTCCTAATCCTCCAGAATTTGGTAGCTGCTCCTCCTCTGCTGTCCCAGAGTCCTCTATGCTTTTGTCCCTGTGGTGACATTTATGTACTGTGCTGTCATTGATTGTTGCAGTACCTGCCTCTCTCATCAAACTTTGAGCTCCTCAAGGACAGACAGCAAGGGCTGTTATATTGCAAATATACTGAACTCTCACTACTAGGCAAAATGTCTGGCACACAGCAGGAGACCAGTAGGTATTTGGGGAAGAGAAAAAGGTCAGAGAAAGGAAGGACGAAAAGAAAAAAGGAGGAAGGAAAGAAAGGAAGGAAGGAAGGAAGAAAAGATTTCCAAAGCTAAAGAATTGGGAAGTAGGGAAGTTGGGATTTGAATCCTAGACTGCCTGGTTCCAAAGACTATATTCTTTCCATGAAAACATACAACCTCCTCTTAAGGGTAGAAACCCTTCTATTATATTCTTGTGGACTTATCTTAGAACATGGCACATTACCATTCTCCAATTAACATGTGTTAATCAATTGATTTTAAGATTTCAGGGACAGTGGGATCTTTCAGGATGCCTCCAGCCTGGAGAGCACAGGGGGGGGGGTGTTCCACATATACTTGTGGCTTGAACTAATTTATGTTCAGTCCATTCCACAGCGATGATGACAATGACTCAGATCAGGGAAGAGTTAGCCACTGGCCTTTGCGGTAGCATTCAAGACCTGTGAGATGAGCCTGGAAAGATCAAGACACTGAAACTATTGGTGAGGTCAAGTTTATCTGGTTTTGGACTAAAAGAGGTACATAATAATGTAAATTGCAGAGTAGCTTATTGCCCCAGAGGCTTAGGAGTGGTTTCTAGAGTTTAAACTTAGTTTAAGGTGTGCAAAACAGATAGTTTCCTTGGGAGTTGCAGAGCTTTTGTTGGTAGTGTGCCCCCCCCACCCCCACCAAGAAGCTTAGCATACAGGCCTAGCATACAGAGCACAATGAAAATAAAAATTATTCATTTTAAGATTGTGAAATATTTTTTCTCTCTGAAAATTCAGTTCTCTTTTCCCATCTAAGACCAACACAGCTTTCTCAAATTTTTACATTTATGGTTTATCTTTGAGATTTCATTTTACTAAAGAACTTCAATAACTTCTGAAGTTCAAAACCGTATGTGACCTTTAGTGTCCCTGTGAACCCCTATAGGCTATGATGTGGGACAGTGGCCAAGAGATGGCAGAGTTGGGGAGTGGGAAAACTACCAGCCTATGAATCAGGTGACTTGGTTTGAGATAGAGCTCTGCCTCGGCCTGCCCACATGACTCTGGCTAAATCCAAACCTAGTTTCTTTCTCTGTGACAAGGGCAAGAAAAAGACTCTGCTGACTTCTTGGGCCATCCAAAGATCTACTGAGACACTGCCTTGGTGACATACTTTAAGAAAGAAAAGGCACCTACAAATATAAGTAGGGTAGAGTAATTTGTTATCTAAATAAATCAAAGAGGGATGAAGCTTTACATATCAATTTATTATCTAGATAATGGAAACTTTCCTTCTTGAATATAAAATTATATTTGATTTAAACTTCGGGGGATTGAACCTGTGTTTCTAGACTAGATTACTCCCTTTTTCAAGCAAAACACACTGCCTAAGGGTTATTGATTATTGCCTTTAGAGGTTATGGAGACTATGAACTTATTTTATACTGATTTCCTCAATATTGATTGCCCTCTGTCTTATAATTCTGGATTTTTATGTTCTGAAAGAGTTCCTCTGTGTCTTCTTCTCTGTTAAGCAGTCATTTCTTCCTGCTGCCAAAGCTGCTGCCCTTCAAATTTTCCCTGATTCCTGCTTCTAAACCACTTTAGATGAGAAAACCTGGTTAGTTAATATAAGAGCCTACTAAGTTCTTGTATGAGCAAACCAAACAAGCTTTAAACAACTTTATACTCATCTTCCTAAGGTCATGTGCCTACCTGGTCAAAAGCTTTTTAATGCTTCCTATTCCTATCAAACCAGTCTAGATACCCCAGGCTGGTACAGTTTTCAAGGTCTTCCACCATCTGTCCTCAAAACACATTTGCAATATTCCTTCTTAGTATGCTCCAGGTGTTTTCCCACCGTCATGAATGTCACCTTTGGCTTCCTCTTGAACCTTGGAACACTGAACACCCACCAAGACCCAATTCAAGCCCTACCTCCTTCCTGAAAGTCTCCCACACCCTCGGTTACAAATAACCTTTCCATTCTCTGAACTCTCATATCCGTTTATCAGCATCCCCCTGTAGCATCTATCACTTTCTGACTTGAAGTAATGCTTTTAGGATCACATCTAGGTCTCTTTACTATTCTGAAACCTCCTTTGAAAGGTTCCCTACAATCCCTGGTACTGCCTTTTGCTGAATGAATATATAAATGAGCAGTGACAAATATTTTGTCAGCTCTTGTTCTCTGAGCTGTGTTCCCTACTGTTCCCACAGCTCAGGCTGCTGCACACATAAGCTCCTCTCAGATTCAATGTGAAAGGGGGTGACTCTCCTTGGAGTAACTGCTGAGCCAAGTGTCTACCTTCCTAGCCTCAGGGGTCGTTGGCCTGACTCTCCTGCTTTCCCTGCTGGAAAAGGAGCTGTGCGATGCGTTCTGCCCATGTGGGGCGGTAGGTGGCCTGCTGGGGCACTCACCGCTGCCAAGCCGCAGAAGCAGCACATCCTGGAGCCTCCGGTTAAGGTCGCGGAGCTCCTTCATTTCAGACACAAGTGCCCCGTACTCCTTGAGCTTCTTGGCCTGCTGTACCAGCTGCCTCCGAGTCCGCTCCAGCTCCTGCTGGAGGTGGCGCATCTCTTCCTGTTGCTGCTGGTAGTTACGCAGCAGCTCCTCATACAGAGCCCGGGGCACGACAGCATCTTCCAGACTGTCCATGTCCTCTGTGCCCGGCGAGGCCTCCACAAAGACCTCTTCTGGACACGTGCTGTGGCCCAGGCTCAGGCCGTTCTGCTTCTCTAGCCGGGCCACCACTGCCTCGATGCTCTTGTGCGCCACTTCACTCGGCTTCCGCCCCTCAGGTCTCTGTGTAGGACAACGAGAATCAGTTCAGGCAAGGGCAGCTGGGACTTTCTTGGACTGCGGCTCAATATTTCCCCAGACAATCCTAAAATCACAGAACCACAGAACATCAGTGCTTGGAGAAACCAGTGCAAACACTTAGTCAAAGCCCTTCATTTTACAAATGGGAAAACAGAGGCCTAGAGTGGGAAATGGGTTTGCCCAAAGTCATGCAATGAGTTGGTGGCAGAACCAGGATCCTGGTTTCCCGGGCCAACACTTTTTCTGTTCCACCACTCTGCCTCTGAGATGCATATACTATGACCGCCCTTCCCAACTCTCCACCCCTACCCCACCCACAATGCCTAGGCAGCGACTTGCTCATGGGGGTGTTCAGTATATATGTCTGGAGAATCAGGCCAGGCCAAGCCACACAAGGGGAATCACACTCAAATCTCTTTAACAACAACAAATAATAACAAAAGAAGCACTCCATCACTTAATTCTTTTTGTCAAGAATGGTTTAGTTCAGAAGGATGTTAAAGACTCTAATCCACTCTAACCTAGGGCAGAGACCATGTGTTATTCTCTCTGTTTCTCCACTGCCTACTCAGAACTGGTACTCAGCAGGGGCTTGATAAATGTTTACTCAACTGAAAAGTTCAAAGAATGCTAACATTGAAAGGTACTTTCAGTCTAACTTCCTCTTTTTATAGGTGAGGAAATTAAGGCCTAGAGAGGGGGGACTACACTCAGGGACACATGGCAAGTTACAGGCAGACCCAGAACTAGAATTTGTAACCCAATTCCAGCACAAGGCTCTTTCCCCAAAATCTGTCAGCCTCTCCCTCAGAAGACCACTGTCTTACAGATAGGAAAGTTCATTTAGAAGAGAATTAATTATCCAGGACTACTCAGGGGTATGGGGTTCAGCTGCCTAAGGAAATTCCAGTTCAAGTGCACAAAGCTTCCACTGAGTGGGCAGGTAGAGTTGCAGGATCAACTGGACCAATTCTTTACCCAGGCGAGGAAGGTTAGGAGCTCTCTTGACTGGGGCCATTTGCAGGAGGTGCAGAAAACTAAGGGCATAAGATTCTAGATACCTCTCACTAAGTTTCAGGGAACTTAAAGAAAACAAAACAAAACCATGACTCTGAGATTGAGCCATATGACAAAATCCTATGTCATTTTATCTGTTAGGATAAGGGTCTGCTAGTGTAAATGAATTATCAGATAAAATTGTGATGGTCACTTAAGACATCTGTCTGCATTATCATACTATGAGACCTCTGGAGGCAGGACCTTACCTGGCTAATCTCCATGACCCCAGGGGCCGGCACAGTGCCAGGCCCACAGCAGGAGTGCAATGAATGCCATGAACTGAACTCAACTGCATCTTTTGGACTATGCCTTGGGAATGTCCTTGACCTTGTGCCCAAAATCAGACCATGGTCAATGCAGAAGGTATCCTTCCTTCTCTTCCCCCTCCCTTCTGCTGGAATACCTATTGCACAAAAAAAATAGCTAGCTTGCTGAACAAGATTTTCAGCAGGCTTACAAAGCAAAGGCTGGAGTCTCCAAATGGGGCACACAGCAAGGATGCAACCTTATGCAAAAGTTGTCGTCCAACCTAGGATCTCACAAATCCCCTTTGTGAATCTTGCTTACTTCTCAATGAGTCCACCCTTAGCTGTTTGGGCCATCTGATAGTGACTGGCTCTAAACTGCTGCCCGAGAGCAGCTGCTTAACATTCCTGGAGCTCAACAGTGACCTCTCCAGATCTGTGGGCCAGGGAGAAACACACCGTTCCAAATCTCCAACAGTAATGACACTGCAGAGACTGTGCAAACAGGACCAGGCTTGGTGGCACACCATGATTCAGGGCTCCCTGGAAAGTTGGTGACAAGGCAAATGTACACTAGTTGTCCCAAGCCTCCCCTACCTCAAAAAAAAAAAAAAAAAATCATGGCCTAAGACACTAGGGGACATTTACATGGGGAGAGGAGACCAGATAAATTCCTTAGCTACGAGAAATCTGAAAATTCTCCCACATACTTCCAAAACCAGAAAAGATTTTGTTACCTTGATGTGTCTAAGCTGTAAATCTTCTTCCCCATAATCTTTAACCTCGCCATCTTCTTCTACGTGGTTAAGAGAAAGTTTGGGGATTTTTATTTTCTTCTGCATCACACTGTTTTCAAGGTCAGATTTGTCTTCTAAAATGCATATCAAGACAACAAAGTTCATTATGAGTCAAAATGAGTCATTATGAGTACAAAAATGCCCCAAACCTCAAATGCTAGAAAATAATTGAGGCCAGACCAGTTAAAAAGGAAAAGCAAACAAGCTCAAGGCCTGTTTCCTCCTACATGCAGGGATCCTAATAAGAGCAGTGCAGATCAAACTCCAGGATCAAGGGTGTTTGCTAGAAGCACTGCTATTCAAAGTATTAAAATAGCATTCGATGAATTTGCTTAGGGGGTTATCTAAGTATATCTTAGAGGGAGGCCTTTTATGGAATTCTAGAATCTTGGAACTGGAATGGCCCTTAGATTGCTATCTGGTCTAAACTTAACTGGCACATGAATGAATCCCTCAACAGTTGAGATCTTTCTAAGCCAAGTGTCTTCCCAGGAGAACTTGGTGGGTTTCTGCCAACTCAGGTATCAATAGGCATGAAAGGGATAATAGCTCTTTTGGTGGTAAGGCCTAAGCTGGAAGGGCACACAAAACAGGCTGAAAAAAGGCAGATATGGGAAGAGTAACAAATAATGTGTATTGCCTTTTTACTGGTATCAAGTCATAGAATGACAGAGTTTGAGGGACTTCGGCGAGCAAGTTGTCCAACTCTGTCATTTTACAGATGAGGAAGCTCAAACCCAGACAATGGAAGAGGTAGGTCAAAGGAGTCTAGAAAAGACCAAAGGAGTCTTTTCTTAGTCTTTCTTAGACCAAAGGAGTCTAAGAAAGAGGCAGGGAGTGGGAAACAGACCACTAGCACCTTGCCCAGTGCTTATGTGTGCTCACAACACACAGTGAAGTGCACTACAAACTGTAAAGTGCTATAAACATAAGAAACGATATTGTTTTTCCTCATTTCTCATTCTGTAAGCTCAATTCCAGATCATCTAAGAGAGGTGTTTTTTATTATTATTATTTCTTTTTCTACATACATTTCAAACTGTACTTCCAAATCTGTCTCTTGCTGGAGATGTCAAAAGTAAAAGTTCAAATAGGAGGGCTCTGGAGATAGAATGTGAACCTACTCTGGAACTGGCCCCTTGTGATAAAATGCTTTGTACTCTGAGCTTGACCTAACACTGTAGAAATTACATTTTCTTATATTACTCAAAGGCTCCCACTGCTATATCCTAAATGCCTTTTCTAGCATGTTGTTCTATGCTGGATATAGTATGTAGTAAGGTAGCTGGTTAAATCCAGTCTCCAGGGATCTTTATGTGTGAGTGTGTGCACATGCATGTGTTAAACATGCTCTTACACTTCTCCCAGGCCACACTTCTCTCCTCACAACTTGTTAGTAAAGCTGAGAAGGCCGTTTCTGAGCACATAACTATTCCAGAATGTCCTCAAATGTTAAATCTTCCCAAATGGTCTCAGGAATGGAGCCCCAGCTGGCTAAAGGTAGGACTCCAGTATCAGAGAGACCTGAGTATGAACTTCAGCTTTTCTATGACAGGGTGAGGAGACAAAGGCCTGAGTCTCTCTGAGCTTAGGTCTCTCCTCCATAACAGGAGTTATACGGGGTGCTGAGTTGTAAGGACGAGAGCAATAATTCACACAACTCACCAAATAGTGCCTGGTACACACTGGGCACTCAAAGAATGACATATTATAATTAATATTATCAATATGCTCTGAATCATTTTATTCCCTTAAGCATAACTTGAATAAAGATTTAATTGAAAAAAAAAAAAGAAATGATTTAAGCAGAGTATAGAGTGTAAAGGAACTGCCTAGGAAAAAAAGAGGTGTTTTTGTTAACAACCCCCTACTGATGAAAATGGTCTTTCCCACTGAGCAGAGGAGCAACCCTTGGGTTCTATTTTCACAAGAATGGCCTGTTCTTGTTCTTGTTGTGCCTATAAAAAACATCCACTGGCTTAGGCACAAACAACAGCAAGGACTTTGGTTTTTCTAAAAGAGCAACAGCTTCCCTCCTATAAATCATTGACTCTTTCTAAGTCACAAAGCTGCTAGAATGTAAAACCTATAAAGTGCTTCAAATGAAATTATCCTGAAATGGAGTGTGAATGTGTGTATGTGTACACATGTATACATACACACACACACACACACACACAGAGGCGGAAAAAAAAAAAAGAAAGCGGAGGAGAGAGAAAGAGAGAGAGATAAGTGTGGTATTAGGACTTCTGAATGTGTTAGGGCAAAGCTCCTGGGCTAGTCTTCAGTTTAGCAAGTACAAGGGCAAAGATTTGAGACACAGGTACCAAACTATACACAGCAAGCTATGCTTTCCCTCCCTGAGCTAAAACTCTGTAGCTAAGGATTATGTTGGTGTGGAGAGAAGTCATCATTCAGACACATAAAACTAGGTAATATTTGAATGGAAAATGATCCTCAGATCACCTTATTCAACCCTTTCAAATTTCAGATAAGAAAAATGAGGTTTTGGATGGTGAAGTCTTTGCATCCAACCATGTAACAATCAGGCCCAGGAATAAAAGAGGGGCAGGACAGATAGGATCCCATCCTGGAGAGCTCACTATTGTGCACGGTCACAGAAATTAGAACATGAATATAGAAAAACCCAGACCATATAATCCAGGTCCAGAGCTTTTTCCCCTCTTACTCCTCAGCTTAACATTTACTGAGAATTTACTCTATAGGATCTACGCTGGGCTCTAGGGACACAGATATGAATAAATATCCAGTTGTGTACACAAGATAAAAACCAATGAAAAGATAACCCAAGATCTCAAATGCTGATTCTGAATAAGGGAGAAGTAACTGCTAGAGGATTTCAGGAACAAGGGCGATCACTTTGATCATTATAACCTTGGAAGGTTTTTGAGAGAGAAGCTGGACTCCTTACTTGCTGGGTAATCTTGAATACATTACTTTACTTCTCTAAGCTCATCTCCTCATCTGTGACCTGAAGTAAATAATTCCAAATTACATTGCCAGAATGCTGTGAAGATGATCAATTCTGTGAGTTAATAACTTGGGCAGAGTGAATAACATTTTAACAGTGGGTGCTCATAAAAGAATAGCCATTTAAGGGTGGCAAAAATCTAGACCACACAAGAGGGAGAAAAATAAAAGCCAAAAGAGGAAGGTTGAGAAAATATTTAGACTGCAGTGGTTATAAAAGATGGTTCAGTTATAGGCAGGAGGGAGAGATGTGGAAGGAAAATAAAGTGGTTGGGATAGAGAATAAATAGCCTTGAATGGCCACTTGAGAAGAGCTGAGGTTGAGCCTGCAGGTGTGGAAAGACTAGGATTCAGAAAACCTAGAACCAAAGGCCAGTTCTGCTACTTCATAGGTGTGAGAAGTCAGCCAAGCTGCTATCTCACTGAGTGTCATTTTTCTCTGCTTGTAGAACTAGGGATCAAATCAGCTCAGTAAATGTGCCTTGAAACTAAGAGTGCCATACAGACAAACACACAGTGGATGACAACCTCAGTAGGAATTGCCTGCTGGCCTGGGGCCTGGGGCAGGATTGCTTCTTGAGGTGGAGACCTGCCCAGCTGCCTGCTTGAAATGGGTGACACTCTCTACATGGTGACAGGAGGCCCCACCCTCCACCAGCTATACCTAAGGCTCCATCCTCTACCATCAAATTGAAATGCCCCTTTCCTTCTTTGTGTGATTGACAAACTCTGTTCAGCCTCCACCCACCCATCTCCTCCTTCCTCCTCAAAGGTCCCATTACACATTGTACATACCTTCTTTGTAGTCCATTATCTTACTATGTTGCAATTATCTGCTTAGAGGTCTACCTTCCCCACTGAGTATGAGTAACCTCAAGGCAGGGCCCATATCATAGAACTATCCAAATAATAGGGAATTGTCAAATAAAAAATGTTTAATGAAAGAATAAAAAGAGGCTATTCCAATAAGCATATGAAAAGATGCTCAACACCATCAGTCATGAGGGAAATGCAAATCAAAACTACAATGAGATAACACCTTACATTCATTAGGATGGCTACATTAAAAAAAAAAAGGAAAATAACAAGTGTCAGGAAGGATGTAGAGATATTAGAACCCTCATAAATTCCTGGTGGGAATGTAAAATGAGGCCACTACTATGAAAAACAGTATAACAGCTCCCCAAAAAGTTAAACACAGAATTACCGTATGACCCAGCAATTCCGCTCCTAAGTGTACACTCAAGAGAAATGAAAACACAAAGAGCTGTACACAAATGTTCGTGATAGTATTATTCACAGCAGCCAAAAGTTAGAAACAACCCAAATGTCGTCAATCAACTTAGGAATGGACAAAAAAAAAATGTAGTATAGACATACAAGAAAATACTATTCAGTCAAAAAATGAAATGACATACTGATTTATGCTACAATATAGATGAATCTTGAAATTATGCTAAGTGAAGGAAAGAAGACATATATGATTTCATTTATATGAAATGTCCAAAATAGGCAAATCCATAGGGACAGAAAGCAGATTAATGGTTGCCAACAGCAGGGGGAAGGGAGCAATGAGAAGTGATGCTCAATGGGTAACAGGGATTTCTTTTTGGGGTGATGAAAATATTCTGGAATGAAATAGTAGTGATGGTTGCAGAGCACTGTGAATATACTAATAAACACTGAGCTGCACACACTTTAAAATTGTTAAAATGGTCAATTTTATGTTATATGAAATATGCTTCAACTAAAAAAGTAGTTTTCCACATGTAGAATGCCTACTACATAACAGATACCTTCACATGGATTACTACACCTCACATCAACCCTACTGGTAGATATTATCAGCTGCATTTTCTTTTTTTTTTGCCAAAAAAGAATAAATGAGGCTCAAAGAAATAAAAGCCCTCCCCAAAATCACCTAGCTGGGAAAGTGCAGAGCCAGGATTTGATATAGGTTTGCCTGCCTTCTAAGCCCAGGCTCTTATCCCCTTTAAACATATGACTGGAACATAGTAGAGTCAGAATAAGTGCTGATGAATGAGTGAATGATGGCTACAGATAAAGGATATCCAAATTCCCA